TTTATCAGGGTATATCAATCTGGGCTGGAGGTTATTTTCTTTCAGGGCTTGGAATATTTTGCTCCAAGTTCTTCTTGACTTGATGGTTTGTGTCGAGAAGTCTGCCATAATTCTGATGGGCCTTCCTCTGTAGGTGATCTGTTTCTTTTCTCTAACAGCTTTTAATATTCTGTTCTTATATTGAATTTCTGGGATCTTGATTATTATATGCCTGGGTGTGGCTCTGTTTTGTTTGTAGGTGGCTGGAGTTCTGTATATTTCATATATCTGAATATTATTTCCTTTTCCTATGTTTGGGAAGTTTTCCTTAACTATTTCTGTGAATAGCCTTTGTAGTTTCTTTGTTTGTACCCCTGCTTCTTCATTCACATTCTTTATTTTCAAGTTATAGATCGTCTTGTCATCTTCTAGCCTTTGTATTGTTACTGCTTGTTTCCTTGTTATTTTTAAAAAGTTTTTCCTTTCATAATCTCACATTGCAAACCTGTCCTCCAGTTTGGATAATCTATCCTTAGTTTCTTTCAAGCAGTTTTGCCAGCTTTCAATGGAGTTTTTAATTTCCTGGTAATCTCTTTGAATCTGCTTCATGTATTCTATATTATTGTATTTTATATTCTAAATCAAATGATTCTCTCCATTTTTTGTGTTCCTCCAGTCTTTCATCTGTGTCTTCTTAAGAGGTGTTTAGCATTTCTTTTATTAATCTATTTATATCTTGCTTTACTTGGTTAAATATTTCACTTTTGAACTTGTCTATGGGGTCATGAAGATATGTCATGTCTGATATTGCATGTTTGCTGTCCTCAATCTCTTTTGTATTTACCTTTCTTGGATCAATGTTCTCAAGGTTGGGAGCTGGGGGCTTTTTCTTATTGTTCCCTCTTCTCATATTTTTTGTTTCTTCCATACAGGCATATAAAGAAGGCCCCAGAGTCTTTTTTTTTTTTTTTTTTTTTTTTTTTTTTTTTTTGATTCTGGTTCCTCTGAAGTGTGCTGGCTAGGTGACCCTGCCTACTCCAGTGTGCTATTGAAGTGGAAATAAGGAAGGTGTATGCTGGCCCCTCCCTTCTGGGTCAGCCAGCTCCCTCCCCCCAGGCCTTTCACCATGCCTTAGTGTGTGCAGCATGTAGGGAATTGGTCTGGGACACCCTACTGGTTCCCAGCCAGGGGTGTGACCCAGACCAAGCACATCTGACCAATCCCATGTGGGAAGGGAACAATGACTGAAGTCTCTGCAGTGCCTTGTTTCTGCCAGTCCTGCCCAGTTCCAAAATGTTGTTCCCTTTCCCATGGAAAGGTTTTATTCCGACACTCACCGCAGATCAATGCAGGTCCCCTACTAGCTCCGCTTTCTGTTGGTCTTGCTGACCTTTGACCTCAGTGCGCCAGCACTCCAGTATAACTGTGGCTCTGGCGAGTCGAAGTGGCAGGAACCTGGGCAGTTTGCTGAGTCACAGCCGTGAGAGTTCGGGCATGCCAGCCAGTGCAGTTGTCTGGTTTGCTGCTCCCTTCTGCCCTTACATCTCCTCACCAAGGCCTTCAGGCTTGCCCACTTCACTGTGCCCATGCATCTCTGGGTTCCAACAGTGCTTCTGGCACAGTGGGATGGCTGCGGTGAGAGCACCACCAGCTACCACCTCCTTCAGTGCAAGTTTTTCTTTTTTAAAATTCTTTCTGTGGGCTTCAGTTTTCACTTTAGTTTCTTTCTTCATCAAGGGGACCTACATCTTTCCTGCTTTTCCTTCTCCAGGATGCTATATTCCAGCAACTGGGCTGTTTCTCTCAGAGAGGCTTTTTAGTTTGCTGCTTACTGTCCGGCCATCTTCCCAGACCCCCCTCAGGAACATATTTTTAAAGGTCACAGTTTCACTGAGCTATATCCTTCTAGTCCATTTTTAAAGTAGTGAGTAATTTATCGTAATGGGTATCATACTTTATGCACTATTTTACAAACTTCTTTCACTTGATGATATATTCTGGATGTTTGTCCACATCATTATATGATATATTTCTAGATAATTATTAATGGCTATATCATATTCTAATCAGAAACTCTTATTTTCCCCTTCTTCCATCTTGTTCCCTCTCCCATTTGAACATTTTCTTTCTACTTCCCAATATTTCTTACACATTTTTGTCCTTATTTATCTTTTCAGATTCTCACACCAGAGAAAAATATGATGTTTAACATATGTGTCCAATTCCTTATGCTTGTTTAAAATGAAAATTTCCTCACTTTATATTGGTCAAATAATTTCCTCATGATTGAATTAGGGTATGTTATCCTCAAGGACAAAACCATACATGGTTTTAGGGGCAAAGTGAAAGCTCCCATTTGCCCTCAGGAGTAGTCTCATGATAGATGAGTTATTAACGTGCACAAGGATAATCAGAGGAGAGTGATTACCCTGCACCTTGATTAACAGGGCAGAGGTAGATGGGGAGCATGAATATTTTGAGGAGTAGTACATGATGTTAGGTGAATGAATGGGTTGATGCTCAGACAATAGTTAATAAATGGCACCTTGTAGGAATTGAATGGGTCTAGGAAATGGGCAATAATTGTTCATTTGTGCCAATATTTGTCCAGGTGTGGTTTCAATCTTTAATCTTCCTTCCTGCAGATATGAATTTAGTTAATGAAAACTTAAGGAAGGGATCAAAGGTAATTGTTTTCTTCTTTGGCAGTCCAGTCTTGAAGCAGATAAAGGAACAGCAGAGTAGAGCTTACTTTAGCACCTGTGGCTTTCCAAGTGCCATATTTTGGGGTACCATTTTCTGAGCTCCAGCTGTGGTGGTATGTCCTTAGGGCATCAGATCTAGAGACTTGTAATAAGCATACATCTCTCACTGCTGATATTAATTTCTTCCATGTGGTCCAGGTATTGCTCAGTTTTTCCATTATAAATTAAGGAAGGGGGCTATTCCCTTTCATTTACTAAGGGGTCTAGAAGAAACACTTTAAATAAATGTAAATTCCCTACTTTTCAGCAAAATATAACAACTATTAATGATTTTTGCCCAATCCAGTTCTTACTATAGTGAGTGGTGATTTTTCCAACTCCAGACCATCCTCCATATTAAGCAGAGGCCTTAATTCATTCATTCATTCATTTATTTTACAGACTTCTTCATTTTTTAAAATGTTTTATAATTTATCATTAATGATTTGGGTACTCAGATTTTCCCAAGCTCAGTGAGTAAGAGGCTTATTTGAATGGGTTATTTTGATATTGGAGTCTGACCCTATGATCTTTTATAAGCACTTCCTGACTTTCTGGCATGACAGGGTATTTCAAGTATACCTACTCTGCCCAGCCTTGGAAACAGCTATTTCGTGAAGAAGTCCTGGCCCCTTTTGATGGAGATTGGTGTTAAAGGCTAAGATCAGGAACATGCTAATGTACTACTTGATTATGGTGAGGCTTTTATGGGTATATATGTATATCATACCTATCAAGTATCATATATTAAAAATGTGCAATACCTTGTATGCTAGTACAGTACCTTAATAGAACCATTTTGTAAAAGGGGGTGCAATGGAGGAAATAGAATGTTTCTAAAGACATTAAAATAAGAGCAAAAATAGTGTTGGCAGGTAAAACTTGAATAATAAAACTCAGAAGGCAGAGTGATTACCATCAAATTCATCAAGATGGTAACTTTTAGGAAAGAGACAGTTGGCAGTGACTGGAACCAGGTCATGAAGGGCTTGTACAGTAGCTGGTAAAATTTTCTTTTTGAACTGAATGGTAGTTAGCAGAATGTTTTCCTAATAACAATCATATTTTGTAATTGTTTTATGTAATTTTTGTCTTAAAATTTGTTAAATTTTACAATCTAATGTTTTAAAATGAATGTTTACATGTTCACTATTTTTTATTATCATTTATTACAAATTAAAATCATTCTGCAAGTAAGGCAGACTCACTGATAATCTACTGATACATTTCACAGTGCTATTTGTAAGCTATTTTGGAGTGTGTTCAGAAATGACAATATTATCGTGAACTTTCCAAATTATATTAGAATCTTAATGTATTAGCATTTTGATTGTTGTTATAAAACTTAATCATGTAAGATCGAGTCAAATGTTTGATTCTTTTAATCAGTTATTTCTCTACTGAAATTTCTCATCTTTTTATTAATTACATATTTCCCTTTATGTCTTTGAGAAGAGTTATAATTGCTTCTTCAAAACCCTGTGTGCTGATTTCAACACCTAATTTATTTCAGTCTGTCCCCATTAACTATCTTTCTTTTGAGAATGAGCCATACTTTTCTGTTTCTTCATATATAGTTAAATAATTTTTTTACTTTAGTCTGCCTATTGTGAGTGTTAATATTGTTATGGAGATTCTGAATTCTTTTTTATTCTTCCCAACAAATGTTGATGGTGGTAAGGATAGTCCATTAAGCAGGCAATTAACTTTAGCAGGCAATACAAATTCAGTCCCTAGGGCTGCAGCTCAATCTCAATTTAGTTCTTCTATCTATAACTACGCTGTTTGGAGGCTACTCTATGAGTTTGTTAGTTTGAGGCTCAGCCCAATTTATATGCGGTACAGTATTTGGGACTCCTTTTCTCTGCCTCTCTCCTATTCAGTGCCCCCTTGCCTTCTAGCAGTGATGTTTTCACCTCAAACATTGTCCTCTGATTTGTGGGCCAGAAAGCTATCTACCAGTTTTATTTCTCTCTGTGGTACTTCCTGGGACCTGCCTCTGACTTAAATTTCCAGCGCCTTCACGTAGGATTTGGGCTATTTTGTTTGTTTGTTTTTTTATTTTTTTAATGTGCCCAGAGTTTATTTTTTATTTAAATATAAATCTTATAGGAGCTAACATAACTACTATAGAAGTAGACTGAATTTCTTTATTTCTTTAATGAAATCGTAATAATGAAGTTGTTAAATTCTACAGATGAGTTAATAATATGGAAAAACACTTATACTTCACTTTGTATTTTTTAACTAACTTGAAATACTTTTATATTATTTTAGGATTAAATCTAATGAAGCTGATGACTGTCAAAAAGAACTTAGAAAATTGAAGTTTGAATCCATTATCTCTGAATCACGGTAGATATTGCAAATTTTAAATCAGTATTTATGTAATCAGATTTGAAACCATATTTTAAATGATATTTTATTTTGAATGTACTTTTTATTTTTAATATATGTAATACCTAATTGAAGCTCATATTTTGTCATTTTTAATTACTTTTGCCTCTGCCTAATAGAACTATCCATGTTCTTTTTAAAAATTTTAAAAAATTTTTCCATGTTCTTAATATCCCTGATTTTTCAGTTTTTATGTTACAGTTTTAGTCTATAATTTTTATGTTACAGTTTTTATGTTACAGTTTTAGTCTATAATTTCAAATAAGATTTCCATATATCTTTGATAAATATAAAAACATTATCTAATTAAGCTGGTGGGATTTTTTTTTTCTGTTTCTTTTTAGGCACACTAGGTTGCTTAAAGAAAAAGAAGACTCTTTAATGACTTGTCAACAAATATATAAAACTTTACAGGAAGAGCTGTCTATAAAAGAAAGGCAAGAAGAAGACATAAAAAGAAGAATTCACCTTGCCGAAAATGAACTGCACATAACTAAAACTCTCTTGAATCAGACAAAGGAAGAGGTTGTAACATTGAAAAATGAAAGGTACAGCTAGAATAATTTCTTACAAACATATTTTATGTTTAATATTCCATATATATTTAAAACATCGTTTCCCTACACATTATATGAATGAAATTATAAGATTAAAGACATATTTAACCTCAAGGGATCTCACTGACTCGCTTAATAAGTGATTAAGTTGAATCCCAAATTAGTTAAATGACTTGCGTAAAGTGTAGGTCAGCTAGTGACAGAAGGGGAGGGACTCAAGTTGCAATTGATAGCAGATTTTTAAAGAGAAAAATCACATCATGTATGATACTTGTACTACTAAATTTCACCTGGGTCAGAGATTGGTAGATTAATTTTTCAATACCAAAATGTTTTGTTTTTGGTGGCGCTGGGTACTGAATCCAGGGCCTTGGACATACTGGACAAAGGCTTTTTTACTACTTTTCCTTTTTATTGGATTCTATTTTTTTTCTGTCTTCCTTATCAGTAACCACATTTTTTTGAGAGCTACTACACACAAAAATACCTCCTTACTTGATACTGAGGATACTAAAAAGCATATTGGTCCAGCTTTCAAAGATATTTTTGTTCATTTAATTTGTCTTAAATTAATCTTAACTGTAATGTTTCAGCTGTGCCTACTGTCTTTTTGTTTTCATTTACCTGGTAAATCTTTGTTCATCTTTTCTAAATCTTTTTGTTTGAAATGTATATCTGATGTATACTACAAGTTTTAGTATTTTAAACTTGTAGTGGATTTTAAACTCTGAGAATCTTTAATGTAAAAGATTATCCCATTTATATTTATTGGTATAATTATATTCTAGAAGAATACAAATTCTATAAGGGCAGGGATTTTTGTTTTGTGTTATTCTTTTTTTTTTTTTTTTTTGTCTTTTTCCTTTTTATCGGTACCGGGGATCAAACTCACAACTGCCTGCTTCCAAGGCAGGAGCTTATGCCGCTGAGCTAAACCTCCAGCCCCCATTTTGTGTTATTCTCTATACAGAGAAAACACATGATAGCTGCTTGTTTTTGATTCTTCTTATCATTCTTATCTTTCTGAACAGTTTTTACATTATTAAAATGCCTCATTTCCATTGACATCAGGTGAATAGGCTTAACTCTTTAGTCATATGAATGTCTGCTGTCTTCCTTCACAGTAACCATTGAGGAGACCCATCTTGTCTCACATTTTTCTGAGGACTGTCGTAAGTCAATTTAGGGCTTATTTGGGATCAGATGTAAAGTAAAATGATATATTCTATTTAAATTACTCCTGCAAATGTAAGAAGGGTGACTTAAAAAGTTTTGGTGGTTAGTAATATCAATAGATGAAATGTAGAGCTTTCTTGTAGGGTTGCTTTGAAATAGCTCACTAAATTGGATATATATATATATTTTGTCGTATTTTTAAAAATTTACTATAATTGTTATTGTACTTTCTGCTACAAGTACCAGGAAGACGAGATGGAGGGTTCTTTTTGCAGAAGAGGACAGAAAGATATAAAAAGCTAGAACTGACCCTATGGGAAAAAAATTGGCAGAACTGAAGTTAGAGGGGGAAGTGCATTTATAACCAGGAAACCATCACCCATTACTACAAATCCATTTAGTCGTACACTGCTTTCTCCCTCACACTCAGCTGCAGAAGCAGTGGTCAGAAAAGGCTACACTGAAAGGAAAGGAGTAGGTCTCTTTGGGCGCTAGGAATCGCAGCGGAGAAGGTCTTCCCGCTGTGGAAGGAGGCCCGCTGAGAAGGCCTCCTTCGTGGATGAAGAGGAATGCAGCAAAGCAGAGGGACAGTGCCAGAGACATGCATCCTTCAAATTCTCTGCAAGGAGAGTCCTCAGCCTCATCTTCCTGGGATACAAAATCTCTGAGGCCAGGCCTGGAACTCTTTGCAGGACCCTGAATGTACTTCGTATCATGGATTAAATATGGTCTGGGAGGTGCTCTGGGAGCCTAATTTCATTTTATGGAAAATTATTTCTATAGTAAACATGTGTTCTAAGTTTCTTATAACAAGCTTATACATATATTTTATCAGCTTAGCAACTTGTTATTGTAACAGAAAAATTTGCTCACGCACTAGCATGTGACCTACTGCTGGAACACACCCGTTCCTAATCGTTCTCACCCTTTGCATTCTCAAATATTTTATTAACCCTCTCTTGCTAAATTCCAAAGAAAAAGTATAGGACAAAATTGGATCTATTTTCTCATAACATGTTGAGAATGGCAAAGAGCATTTTTAGAGGAAAGGCTTAGTGATAATTCCCATTAGGTATAAGTTGCATACATGTAAATTATTCTCTGAGATAGAAGTCTGTAGCTGTTTATCTCTCCTCCTGTCTTTAATTTATCTTTGGTCCCTGTCCTCTCAAAGTATATATTTTTTGCTCCTTTTTTCCCTGCCCCACATTACATTAACTTCTCTTTTGACTTCTCTGTCATTTTTTGAGTTGAAAACTATAAACTTTCACCACAGAAAAATACACATAAAATCTAGCAAATTATTACAGAAGCACATGGAGTCCCCTATTTTCCTTTACATGCCATGAGCCTATGATTAAATGTGCCTGCTTTCTCAGTGATACCTTTCCCTCCCTTTCTTCCAGCCTCCTTTTGTTTTGCTTCCCTCTCGTCCCTTCCCCTTCAGATGTCTCAGGCGCTATCACACATTTCCGTCATGAGGGCCCTTTAATGCTTCTGTGGACATTATCTCACTTGTCTACACATTTTCCTATATAAGATAATGTCTACAGTGGAAGTACTACGGGTGACCAGACTGGTCTCACAGCTTCTTTCCTGCATTAATGTTCCATCTCCTTCCCAATCCCTCAGTCCATAGGTTTGATCACAGACCAAAAGAGCACTTTCTCTAATTCACCAACTCAGAGAGGAAGCCGCTTTCAAAATTACCACGGTTATGGCCTTCACCTTGAAACAAATGACTTTTTTAGATTTTATAGATGCAAACATTAAGGTCAACCAAGGCTAAATTTCTGGCTTAGGGTACCATAGTCAGCAAAGGCAGTAATAAAGCCCTGGATGGAGTATCTGACCTTATAACTCAGTTTCCCTTCACAATTTGAACTTTCCTTAGAATATGACTTTAAAAAAAAAAAAGAATAAAAACTATAATACAGAATTTCAAAACAGTAAAAGAGGATTAGCAATGGTTCATATATTGCATATTGTTGTCTTCAACGTAGTGTTCAAATTAGCAGACATATGCATGAAAAAATGATCAAATAATAAAAGCACAAATCATTCTTTTTGTTGGGCTAACAGAGATTAACGGTATAAATATCTGTCTTATATATAATCTTTTCTCTTCTTTCTTGCTTTTCTCTTTCCCTCATTCCAGTTGTTCCTGCTCCTTTTAGACATTTCCTCCCCTTTCACTTTCACAATATCTATTGTACATTATGGGTCCTGGTAACCCCTTCAGTTTTTTATACTAGAGAGACACTCTTGTGTTCATCCATGGTAGACTGAACCATTTTACCCATGAGCATGGGTTGTGTTCACCCGTGGTAGACTGAACCATTTTACCCGTGAGCATGTCTCAAGTTGCATCCATTTACTTTCAAAAGCCTTTAGATTATCCTTTTTTATAGCTGAGTTGCACTCCATTGTATAAAAATACCATATCTTCCTCATCCATTCTGCAGTTGGTGGGCAAACTACCCCTGCTTTTTTCTGGGTTCCTGTCTCTTGGATTATTATTTTCTCTCCTTTGACTTTCAGTCTATGAATTCTCTTTCAGAATTAAATGTGTTTCTTGTATACAGCATATTGATCAATTATTTCTTGATCCACTCTGTGTTTCTTTTTATTGGTAAACTGAGGCCATTTACATGAATGGTTATGACTGATATGCACAGGCTTGTCTTTGTCCTGTTACTTTCCTGTTGTTGATTCCCTACTTTGCCTCTGTTTAATTACTTGTCCTGCTTGATGATTTCTTTCTGTTGTTGTTCTTGGAATTATCATTTTTGTTTCTTTCTAGAATATTTTTCAGCATTCTTTGTAGGTTTGGTTTGGTAGTCATGAGTTTCTTCAGTAGTTATATGTCATGAAAGTATCTTATTTCTCCATTAATTTTGAAAGATAGTTTTGCAGTATACATCAGTCTGGGTTGGAAGTCGTTTTCTTTCAGAATTTGCAACACTTTACTCCAAACTCTTCTTGGCTTGATGGTTTGTGTTGAGAAGTCTTCCGTGATTCTGATGGGCTTTTGTTTATAGGGGATCTGTTTCTTTAACCTAACAGCTTTTAATATTGTGTTCTTGTCCTGAATTTCTGCGGGATCTTGATTATTATATGTTGAGGTACAGATTGATTTTGGTTATAGCTAGTTGGAGCTCATTTATCTGTATGTCAGGTCTTTTTCCCATGCTTGGAAAGTTTTCTGCTATTACTTGTGTATTCTTTGTATGTCATTTGTGTTGATTCCTGCTTTTTGCTGACACCTATCTATCTTACATTATTATTTTTCTTTGTATCACCTTATATCTTTGAGTTGTTATTTATTGGTACCTTGTTATTTTTAAGAGATCTTTCCTTTTGCGATTGCTAGCTGCAATCCTATCTTCAAGGTCTGAAAGTCTATCTTTAGTTGTGTTCAAATGGTTTTTCCAGCTTTCAATGGAATTTTTAATTTCCTGCATATCTCTTTGAATCTGTTTCATGCATTTCCGTTCTTCCCTCATTCAAGGTTTCTGTCATTTTCCTATGTTCCTCTTTCTTTTTGTCTTTTTCTTTAGCTATGCTCAGCAATTCTTTCATTATGGTTTCATTTCTTCTTTTACCTGAAATATTATTTCTGATTGGATTTCTTTTATAGCCTCATACATTTGTTTCTTCAGTTGCTATCATTTCAGAAATTTCATGTGGTGACTTCCAGTTTCTCCTATGTCTGTCTTCTGGACTTGTTCTCTGTGGGTTGGAGGTCTGAGATTGCATTTTTGCTCCTTTGTGTTGACATTTTCCTGGGTTCTTCTGGATGAGTGGGTTGTAGG